TGTGCTCAAATTATCTTATGATCCAAGTAGAAAGCAAATGTGTATTTACGAGTTTTTAGTACCTAATTAAATAGAAAAAGTTTGCTCCCCTCCAAATTGAAAACGCCCCAATTCCAAGAGTTTTCGTAAATAAAATAGTTGTAGGCTTCGATGAGATGAAACTATTTACGAAGTTTCAGACGGATGGTCTGTAACACGGACTATTATATATCGCTTCTATATTATTAACTGTATCTAAACTGTTCTTACAATAGGTAGTTTGCTAATTAATTAAAATGGATTGATAGATTGATTGGTTATATAATTTACAGTAATCATTGGATATATTATCTTAATCCTACTTCCCAACATTCTATCCTCAATCTTATTAGAATCGATTTGATATTGATTCCCAAAGAACTATAACGTTATCAAATCCCAATCCTTGGGAACGATTCTTCTCATGCAACCAGCGTGTTCCTAATCTGCGGTGCATCTCGAACGCAGGCAGATTCTCAATGTGCTCCTGGAATCCCGCGAGGTTACTTATTAACATATGCCAAGTCTTTATCCCATCATATATTCAGCCATACTGTAATCTTGCGGCCGTTGAATTACAAAGTAAAACGAAACAGAAATATTCCTACCTTATTAAGTTAGAAACCCCGAAGCAATTACGGGACGAATGGATGTTAACTTGACTTGAACATCAATTACGAATGATGTTTACTTGACCAGGAATTATAGAAATGAAATAAGATTGTTGTTATTACTCCTCACTTCATGTAATTACTAGTGAAAACCACTCCAGTATCTAACTTTAATATATTTTGACCTCTATCTCTTATACATTTAAGAAGTTATTCTCTCTCCAATTTAATAAATAATTTTGTTGACCATACAGACACCGCATTACGCAGACATTATTTTATTTATTTATATTATAACAAATTTCATTTAACTAAATAGCCTCCTGCAATGTTATTTTATCATTTGGAAGAGTATTGTATGATTTTCAAGTAATATATGGTTGTATTCGGAGAGAGATTATAGCAATTTTTACTTGCATATTATATACAGGGTGTTTCGTAATTGCACAGCACTATTTCAGGTATATATTCACTAACACAAAATAAACAAAAAACTTCATATTAACATATATCTGAAATTCATTTATTAAACAGATATCAAAGTTTACAGATTTATTTCCCAAACTGATTTATTTTCAACATAATCCCGAAATTCTCAACTGGTTAACCCCGTTTTCAGAAGAGTAAAGATAAATATGGCTTTGGGTTAGAATTAATTTCTAATCCATTAGCGAATCATAGTTAATCCTATATATTATTTCTAAAAGATGTTTTTTTGTCGGTACGCCATAACTTCTTCAATTCTTCATCAAATCCAATGATTGACCACTCATGTTGCAGATATTCTTCTCCTTCACATGCGAAATAGTCCTATCCTCCAGAAATTTCTTGGAAAAAAGTTATAAAGAAAAAGAAACTTCATTTACAAATAACTCAAAAAGTATGCATTTTCTCCGAAACTACTGGAACAATGTTTTCAAATTTGGATTCTCCTTCATCGACATTACTATCCGCCTTCTACTTTCAGAATGGCTACCGAAAAACCTGCATTGCTATTGACTGTAGCGCCTAAACAAATTTACCGATTTAAATGAAACTTCGCTAAAGTCTTCTAATCTACGTCTTTTAAATTTACCTAAATATAACATATTTCAAAGAAAAGAAGCTGGAAAAAGTTACAAGGGATAGTAAAATTAAATTCCGAATAACTTAAAAAGTATACACTTCGATATTGTGATAAGATGTTTCAAAGGTATTTAAATTTCCTAAAAAAAATGAAAGAAGTTTCATCGAAATTAAAGCATTATTAGTAGAGATATCGCTATTTTTTTTATTACTAACTTACCTACAAAAAATAAAAATAAATAAAAAATCGTACAATTAACAAAGATAGAGTCCATTAGTTTTGGTTTACTTAATAATGTCTTCTTCTTTAAAAATATTGCATTTAGGAGTAGAATTGTCAACTACACTTTTTTTTGCTGGCTGATATATTAATTTCATTATTTCGTAAACGGCATTAGTTTTATTTTTACATTTTATATATTTTTAATAATTTAGAAAATCCCATAATCGGGGCATTATTTTGTCTTTATTACTTTTATTATCATTCCAATCAGTGCATTTAAAAGTAGGTCCTAGCAAAGCAGTTTGTACTAGTATTTTGGTCTATTATGTTAAATGGAATATTGTAATCGACCAAGAAAAAAATATTAATTCTTTCCTTACACATTACATAGGATCTACTTATTTCCGTATTGTTTTATCTATTTCTTTACTAAACAGAATATTCTGCGAATTTTTCGCACGAACCGACTAGTTTTTATGAAATATTAATTTAATCTGCTCATAAAAATATAATTTCTTCATGCTTTTATGCGTCTTATACAAACTGATAGTACCAATAACACACTATATTTTGGAGCGAGGTCGCTGGTATTATACCACGGTTGGTAGCTGAATGGCGCATGGGAAGGTCGTAAAGCGATCAACTATCAAACTCTTATATTGATATAAATGATTTGACTTTGACATTTGTGACATGTAATCTTCCTCTTATGATTTAATATCAGCTTATCTCGGAAGAATTTTATCATCATCAAAATGACGTAACAGTTTCTCTGGAATTATTAGACCGTAAAATTATAGGATCTTTATATAGCTTCCTGCGTTTTTTTTTTCTTATTGCGAGGGTTGTTCCCAAATTTGTGTTTCCTCCAATTCCATTAATATGAACCAAAATAAAAAAAAAATATATTTTTCAGGCATTGTTACTTCGTTTAATAATGATAATTTTACTTATAAATATAAATATTTTACTTATAGGTATATTATCATAAAAATACAACTGATTCTTCATTATTAAGTAAGTTTGACTTGATGGAGAAAGCGATTTAAAAAATCTGGTGTGTCCGCTCAAACGATTTTCCTACCTATTTCGTAAAATATTTTATATCTTTACATATGACCATCAAGAAATGAAAAAAAAAAATAAAAATAAAAAAGAAGAATTAGATTTATTTTCCTGAAAATAGATGAAAGAAAAGATTTGGGTAAGAGTTATTTGATAAACTGCTTGTAAGAACAATATAAACCTTTAGCTTAATTTAGATCAGTGTAAACATTTCAATACTCTCTAATATTGCTGATCAAAAACTTTTTCCCATAGCCTAATTTTGTCAAACAATAATTTCTGTTAAAACTAGAGGAAATAATGAAGCTTGTGTGATGCAGGCACCAGATTTTCTTACTTTCGCTTAGTTATCTCTTTTTCTCTCATTCATACCTTTTTGACACCAGGATATGAACTCGTAGTCTTACATTGGAAATTGAATAGTTGTAACTTCGATAATAGTTGTCCGAAATGAACTATTTTCATATAGTTTTGTAAGGGATTTCATTAAATTAAAAAAAAAAATGGCTAAACCGTGTTAGCCTTACGTTAAACACTGAAACGTATAGATCCGTCGAAAACCGCATATCGGAAATGCGATAAACGATGTCAATTTGATTTAAATTGAGTTAGGTACTTTAGCTTTCATTAAAATCCATAGGCTCTTAGATAACTTGAAAATGATATTTTAAATAAAAAAATTGAACATGTTATAATGAAAATTCGGTACAATATTTTACTTGATTGTTAAAATTGAAATTTAGCTCTTAAATTGTAAAATTTGCAGTTTTATGCAACAAAACTCAAAAACGTGCAATTCAGCCCTAAAAGTACAATTTCGTGCAAAATGAAAATTCAATATGTTATTCTACAGATCGTAAAACGGATAGATTGTCGGGTTTGAAGTTTTAACACCTAAGCGAACAAAATGTGCAATAACATGAAAATTCGGTCTCTAGTTATTAGTTTGTGAATATAGAACAAAAATAGTTTATAGTATAAACTTAAGTTATTACTTAAGTAAAAATAAACATAAAAAGTGAAAATAAAGTAAAGAAAATATTAGTTAAACATACTATGTACAAAATAAAAAAAATCTATATACAAAACACTTGAAACCATGCCAAGATACTTATAAATATATATATATATATATATATATATATATATATATATATATATATATATAGAGAGAGAGAGAGAGGGAATAGAATAGAATAGAGAATAATTTTATTCTGGGACGAAGTCGCTTTAGAATAACAAAAAAGTACTTAATTAAAGTATTATATCTGGCCCAAGTAAAAACAGACATAAAAAGTGAAAATAAAGAAAAAAAGTAAAGAAAATATTAGTTAAACATACTATGTACAAAATAAAAAAAATCTATATATAAAAAAAACAAGACACCTTATATATATATATATATATATATATATATATTTATATTTCATATTATTAATCTCACGTTGTTTATGTTTTTACTTGTATCGAGTGGTATAAAACACATACTGTGTTTTTTTTAGGTTGAGTACTGATGAAAAAGTAAATTGAAAATCGAAACTGGTGAAATATTTTAATAAAACGTACATTTCATTTTCTGAATAGACTTGTCATAGAGTGTAAACCTGTTTTTGTACTGTTTAATGTTTTTAATCCTTTCTTATATACATATAAATCCCTAGCGTACTAGAGTCGTGTGGCGTGGATTTAAATAGTTGTTTTGGCAGTCTCATAATGGGTATGTTAGATGGTGGGGTGGTTCTCGCTTTTGCAAAATTTATAACTGTATACCTTATTGTTATGCTTGTCGTTAAGATCGCAATTACACTTTTTAACCTCATCGCTAAGTTTCTTCTTGTCATTGAAATGTTGGCTAGAGTTTTGGATGTTGAAGCTATAAGAGATGTACGTGCTCATTTACCATTTAAATTTATAATATAGTAATTTTTTATATATGTTATCTGTGCTATTTTATCATTTTTCATAATAATTTCTAGGAGGATATGCTGTATGCTGAATGAAGGATTGAGGCAGACATGATGGCAGATCCGTTTCCTCGGCGACCGGCCGTAAACATAGATTTCAGTGACGTCACCTACAGGGTCACAACATGGAGGAAGTTCAAACCAGGTGAGTGAATTATAATTAATTTAATAAACTATTTATTAGTAACTATTGTTCGCTCAGTAGCCATTAAAAATTTGAGAAAAAGATATAATCCTATATCTAATATATGAGCCATTGAAAAAATAAATTTCAATATTTTAAATGAACGTGCTCTTCATTTCACGGAATTCAGGAAGCTTTCAAATTAATATTGATATTATTGCTGCCACATATAATTGTCCATGCGAAACTACTGGACGTTACAATAATACACACATTTTTCCAAAACTTTTATCCTGCGATTTGATTTTGACATTTTGACAAAGAAAATAAAACAGTAAGATCTAAGACATACAGACTCCAAAATTTAATTCGGACAACAAACCTATGTTTACGTCTAAAGCTTCTAGTCTATACAAGTATAATACGGCCGGCTCTGTTGTATGGTGCACCTCTGTTCGAACATATCAGCAAAACAACTGAGAAAATATTACAATATTTCCAAAATGCAATAATTATACAAATTGTAAGAGGAACCACGCTGCAAAGAAAGAAGACAGTGGATATACAAGCAACACTAAACTTATCAACAATAAAAGAATTTTTCGCTAAACGAAAAAAATAATTTTTCGAAAAATCCCAACAATTGGCAAACCCTTTTTTTAAACGATGGCAACAAATGAAATGAGATAGATGTATTATTAATTTAGTTGTAAGCTCTAGAGGATAAGGTCAACTCAAGCCTGAGGTGAGCCCATCACCTTTTATATTACAGATGGAGAACGAAATACTTAGAAACGACAAAAATCTAAAAATAAACCTTACAATGCTTTTAAGCAGTAAAAGGACTATTATTAAGACAATCCAAGGATTAAAGACAAAAATAAGTAGAAAGGGACTATGGAAAAAACAAAACAAAAAAAAAACTATAGAATATATTTTTAAATTTAATTTATGAGGTATCATTCAACAAACATTACATGATATCATCTCTTCAAATAATAGACCCAATTACCTCAGTAAATGAAAAGTTTTCGATTTATCAAAACCAAAATAAAGGAAATCGAATTTGCAAAAGAAAAAGTACTAAATGTTTAAAATGATATATCTCTGCAACAAATAGTCCGATTTCGATGATTTTTTTTTATTTTGTAGGGAATTCAGGAAGCTTTCAAATTAATATTGATATTATCCATATGTGTACTTTTTGAGTTATTCGCTAATAAAATACTGAATTCATCATAAAAATGTATGCAGCTTTTTTTCGGGAAAGTATGTTATATACATAAATTATAAAGGTTTCAAGGAGAAGACTTTAGCCAAGTTTAATTGAAATCTTTGAAGCCGTATTGGCGCTACAGTCTAAAGCGAATCACGTTTTTCGGCTCCTATTTCGAAAGGAAAGGCCCGATGGTAATGAAACGTATACAAAAAAACTTCTAAATATTATTGCGACGTTGTGTCAAAATTTAAAAGAAATCGGTAAAGAACTTTTGGAGATAAGCCGTTTTTAACTAACTACCATTTATATTTTTGTTTACATACTATTTAATATTTGTATTTATTGATAACACTAAACCTCGTCAATAGCTATTAAACAAAAAAAAAAAAAGGAAGAAAATCGGTTGAATAATAGAGGAGTAAAAGGGGCTGAACCGATTTGTGTTTGCCTATTTATATAATGATAACGGATAATAATAGCATCAATATTTAAATGATAAATACCAACTATACGTATAATTATTAATATAGCCCAAAATCTCCCTTGGTGTTGCACATTGCAAAACCAAATCCGTCTATTTGTTGCAAGACCGAGACTGGTAAAAAAAAAAAAAAATGGTAGAATTAATATATTTGCATTTAACTGTTCCAATTTATCATCGGGGGTTTAGCTAGGTTTCCCCATTCTGAAAAATGACAGAATACTGTACAAAACTATAAAAAATCGTTTGAAGTGGACCAGATTCAGCAACGTTACAGTATATTGATTTTGATAATCATTCTCTCTCCTGTTTAGATTGCTTTAGTTCATCAAAGAAATCGTACTTTAATGATTTCTCTGATCGGTTGTCAGGAAAATTAGTCTAATTCAATAGTGTTATGTGTAATGAGCATATTCAAAATTGAAAAAAAAGTGTTTAAAATCGGTAGGAAAATCATCTGAGCGGCCACATTAGATTTTGAAGTCAAAACTTCTTTTGGAGCGTTTTGAACTTTTTTTGTGGTGAGTGAATTAGATTGATCCGTCAGATTTTACCGCTCGTGTAAAGTCGGCTATAGTCGAATAATTGAAATGTTTTTAAATGTAGTTTAAAATATCTCAGAAACCAAAAAAAAAAAAAAAATCAGGCCTGCATACTGTATGTGAGGAAATTGTTCAACATTTCATCCTCTGTATCAAGATATAATCCAAATTGTATCTTAAAGCGACGACGTGTTAGCGAGGCGAAAAGGAAAAGATAGTGTTGAAAAACAAATGATGACGAGGTCATATGGATTAAAACATTTCAGATACTAAAAATCGGACCTGCATACTGTAAGAGAGGGAAATGTTCAGCATTTTGTCTTCTTTGTAATGAGCTATTATTCAAAATTGTATTTTAACCCAACACCGTGTTAGAGGGCAGAAGAGGAAAAAATATAGTGTCCCAAACCAAATGATAATATATTATAACAAAAGCTAATATTATTATAGCATTGAAATTTTATTTTGACAATATAAGTTATAATTTATTATTTTCAATAACCAACCATTGTAATCGAGAAAAAAAATTCAAAAACTTAACTCCCTTCAAAATTTCAGGTTTTTGCGTTTCAGGTAACGTAAAATTCGAAAATCGAATACAATTTTTTTTATCCGTCCGCCGTCCGCTTTCTCCCAAGCCCACGAATTCTCCTCATTACCCTCCTGAAATTTCAGAGGGAAAAGCTATGAAGGAAAAGAAACTTTATTAGCGAATAACTCAAAAACTAGTGGTCCGATTTTTTTTTCAAATTTGGATTTAATGTCAGAGGCTATAGACTGTAGCGCCTAAACGAATGTACCGATTTCAATGAATCTTAGTTAAAGTCTTCTTCTCGATGCCCTTTAAATTTATCTATATAACATACTTCAACGAAAAGAATCTAGAAAAAAATTACGAGGGTTGTTAAAATTAGATTTCGAATAACTCAATAAGTGTAAATTTTTTTGTTGATATTGTATGGTTATTTAAAAGTTTACAAAACCTCATAAAAAAAAAGAAAAATGAGGGTTAAAGTTGGACAATTCGAATCAAAGATATGGTCTCTAGATGTTTTTATATGTTCTACTGCAAAGGTTATATCCTTTGTTTTTGATTTTGAATTTTGAATGTGTTACTGAAGTAATGCTAATTTTTTCTTAGCAAATTACTAATGATGAAAATGGTTAGGCCAATAATTGGAATCACCTTTTACTTCTTTTTCTTTTTCACTAGGATGGTAATGTTACTTTAGATCTATAATTGTTTGGAGATAATATACCATTGTGAAAGTAGAGTTGGTCTTTATTAAAATCTTTTAAAAGGGACTTTTAAGAGTCTAAACCACGTCAAGTTGAGTTTTTCATAAAATCATGATGATTTTTTTTTGTAATTCTACAACTAGTCTAAATATATCCAACTTTAACAAAAATTTTGTAGTTTAATAAGTGTCAATTCCTTTATAAGTTTTTTTACAGAATATTTTGAGATCACCTCAAGTTGTGTAAAAAAAGTATGTGATTTCATACCCTTTCATCGAAGAGTACCTGTGTTTTTATAAAAAAACAAACATTTATGATAATCCAGTGAAGGACAAAGTTAATATTTAAATTATATGTTTAAGGAAACACAATGGTTAAACCATGGTTGAGTGTAAATGATATTTATAACCTGATAGCTTACTGAATATATGTATTTAACCTTTGCGTATCAAACATTGTTTAATGGAATTTGTGCTGAGCCTTTAATGTATTAATATCAGATACAAATATAGATTTGTGCATAGTATTAGCACGGGTCAGGTAATTCTATGTATTGTATTTAATGAAGTTTTTTTTTAAATTTTATTTAGTATTTATTTATTTATTCAGAAATATTATAATCTGTGACAATTAGGAACTTTTTTTTAAAAATGATTTTATACAATACATTTTATCATTATGAAGGGCGTTGGTAATAGGGCTACAGTATTCATTCACACAATATATACATACGAAAGTTAAATAAATATTAATAAATAAAATAAAATATATATATATATATATATATATATTATATATACTGGTCATATATATAATATATATATATATATATATATATATATATATATATATATATATATAAATATAAAAAAATAAAGTAAATAAGATAAAGATAATTAATATACATATATACAAGACAAATAAAATAATAAATTGAAGCTGAATGATAATAAAATGGATATAGTTCCTCCTCTCTTCCGCCAACCGATGACTCACCGTGTGTGTATTCTAAATAAAGAATATTCTGCAAACAATGGTCTTATAGTAAATTTATAATGCGGCTGATTGCTGCTAACTTAAAATAGCAATATTGTTTTTTTTAGAACCGACAAGTCCTTGGTATATAGGACTTTAACGTATGTATATATATATTTTGGTAAACAAATTAACCTTTCATTTGTATAAGGTATTCAAAATATTATATCACTTAAAAATAAGAAAAAAAAAACTCTCAGAAATATCCTAATAAACCTAAACTTAACAAATATGGACTTAAAGTTTATTAAATTAGGAAGTTTTTCTTAGGAAGTTCCAATTACTTAGGTTGTTTAAGGAAGGAGATCCCTCATCCAACGCCTTTTTAGTCTCCTGCTCATGTTCTGAGGTATGTCAGCTGTGGCCATGTCTCTTATAAGTCTGTTATTATGTCCGTTTAAATTTGTGTAAAATCGTTGATATAGGATCGTTATATGTTGGTCAACTGTTGGAAAGTGGAGGTCAGTATGTAGAGTTTTGTTAGTCACGTACCAAGGTGCTTTTG